AAAAAGAAAGAAAAAGAAATAAAACAAATGGAATGAAAGTTAATCTTTCCTACTCTTTCCTTTTTTCCACCCCTCTTAAATAGAGAAAGGAAATAACATTTGATTCATTCATTCATAAAAAAATACAAAAGATATAAAATTAAAAGAAAATATGCATTTGGCAAAAGGGCAAATGTAAAAAAAAAAAAAAAAAAATTCTATAACAGGCCTATGGTAGCTTGTATGAAGAAGTAGCAATATGAGAAGAAAAGATGTGAAGGGAAAGTGAAAAGGTAAAAAGAATAGATTACAAAGAAAATAATCATACATAAAAGATTAATGAAAATGTAGAAAAATGCATGGAAGAGTGACAGAGAAAAAAGAGAGAGAGAGAGAGAGAAAAATAAAATGACAACAAGAATGGATCACAGAGGCAGGGGAAAAAAAGAAGTAACTACCCAAAAGGCTATAGGTAGGTAGGTAGGTAGGTAGGTAGATATGTACGTAGTTATAGATAGATATATAGATTGATGACAATAATGATAGTAGTAATAATTTGGATACCAACAGCACAAGAACATGAACGAGGAACCTTGGAAGATGACATTGAACTAGAAGGAAGTTTCGTACTTTGACAGCAATCTGTCTGAGGCTACACACGGGAGGTGGAAAGCTGACGGAAACTGCAGCAGATGTTGCTACGGCAATAAAGATGACCGTGGAAGCAGTGGTGAAGAGGATAACACTGGCAGTGGTGTGAGAAGCAGATCAGGTTGTGAGAACAGAACGATGACAAGGCGGTGGCGGAAGAGAAGGACAATGTCTGATTTGAGAAACCAGGTGAGAGATAGATACCAGGGAGCACACAGGTAAGATCACATCTTGTTTCTAAAGTATTTTTCTTTATTTTGTTATTGGTGTTATAACTGATAGTACTTGGCCAGCTATTGAAAGAACAAATGAATAAAGTAATAAATGATAAATTAAAACTAAAATATACACATGGGTTTGTGGTTGTAGAAATGCTTTTGAATGATAAAAGAGAGTAGTTTATGCCAATTTAAAAAGTAGCAGTGAATTATGGGAAAAACAATATTTTAACCACCCAAGCTGACCACCCCATAAAGTATAAAGTTCATAAACATAAAAAGAGGGTTGAGGAGAAAAAAAAAAATATATTAAAAACATTAGAAGTATATTGAACATTTTTAATGATGGATTTTAGGCCTTTTTAAACCTTTTGTTTTTGTTTGTTTTATTTTTTAAAAATATATTTTATTATTCTCCTTAAATTTTGGTTTCGGAAATGGCAGTACTCAACTGCTATTGGGGGTAGATGTAAATCCAATGGCAGTGGTTGGAAGTAGTAGTTTTTAATTCAAAACACAGCATGCAGAATTAGTGGCCAACACAAGCAGAAAGGTAACTTGTATCATTATGATTGTAATTATTGTGATGGAAATTGTCATGGCATAACAAAATGTTTAAAATAGCCACTTAGAGATTATTTAAGAAATCTTTCGGTTTATGGAGTTTTGTTATTTACACCTTATTGTTATAGAAGACAAAAAAATACTTGGTGACATGCCAGATTTAGGGCTTAAAGTGTATAGAAAAAATAAAGTGAGTTCAATTAAAGGAAAAAAGCAAATAGGTAAAATCATGGACTCAAAAGAATGTGGGAAGAAAGGGGTACCGAGAGAAGGGGAAACATGGGGCACGGTAGGGGGGAAATAGTGTTGGTGTTCAGAGAAAGCCAGAGTTAAATAAACTCAAAGCAATGGCAGTAACAATGGAGGAAAGGAAAGGACATGTAATGATGATAACAATGTGCACAAAGAGAATGGGACCAGGAGAGCTGGGAGACTTCAGTTCTGAGTGGACAAGGGATAAAATGAAACAAATATAAATTAAAAACAAAAACAAAAAAACAAAAAAACAAAAAACAAGTGGCTCCTCTTTCTATGAATTTCCTACTTCTAAATTTTAAAATAGAAACATCAACACACTACAGGTATTTGACGTCTTTTATAATCACAGAAAGAAAAAAATCCAAAAAATCAGAAAGTTGTAATAGTCTGTGTTGTTCCCTGAAGACATTTCACATTAGAAATGCACACACACATATATATATATATATATATATATATATATATATATATATATATATGATGTCCTTATATATTTGAAACAGGATACTTCAAATGCAAAAAATTTCATAATTATTAAAAGGGAAATTTTTTCTGATTAAAATGTAATGTTATATCAATTATCTTTTTTTTCTTTATGCATGAGGGTAAATATCATTCGTTATTTCATTTTAGGCAAATTTTCAGCTTATTTTAGGACTTATTTAAAACTATTTTACATTAAAGTAAAGTAACATTTAACTGCGGTAATACAAAATATATCTTTTTTTTAATGAAGAAAGAAATCAAATTTTTTAAATAAAATAAAGAAATTATAGAGATGCCAAAAAATTTCATGGCATAAAAAAATGCTTATGCATCTGAATACATCTGAAATAAAAAAAAAAAAAAAAAAATATTACAATAAGTTCTTGAATAGCAGTAGCCATAGATTTGCTAGTAAAATGTACTAACCAACCAATAACTGCCTTCTTTTACTGCTGTCAATTGACAACACTTGAATTAACATTTGTAAATAGTATAACCATACCTGTGGTTGAAAAATAAATAAAAAAAAAATTAAAAAAAAAAAAGAAAGGTGATTATTAGTAGCAATGGAGACAACAAATAACTTACAACATAATAATAATAATAATAATAATAATAATAAGTAAATGGTGCTGAGAGTAAGTGAAAAAGTGCATTTGAGGAAGAAAGGGTGAAGAATGGATACCAGCAACCACAACATGGCAGTGGTATTAATTTTAGCATGAATTGAAAAGATGTACCATTCTTACTGATTCTTTAGTAAAATGATATTAGTAAAAGGCATAAACACAACAAATATTATACTAACAAAAAAGGTTAAAAAAAAAAAAAAAATGTTAAGTGTTAAGTAGTGCTCGGAGGCTGAACAAGTGGTGTTAGTTGCTTTAAATGTGGTGGCAAAAAAGATATACTAATAACAGAAAAGCTGATATAATTGAGTTGATGAAAAAAACCATTAAAAAATAAACTTAAGAATATACGCAAGTCTAATTTCATATAGAATTTTCTTAATTATTGGTATTTATACAAAATATCAATTTTTCTCAAGTTTTGGTAAAGGATAAACATTTCAGTGGATAACTCTGTTACTAAGTAAACATCTAACTTAAAAGTACTAAATCCACTCAGAAAAAAAGAGAATTCATTTGACATAAATGTCTTTCCTTCTTGAAACAAAATAAACTTGACACTTGGGCAAGAATATCAGCTTACTCTTCTCTAACACCTAAACCAAACCTGCAAGTGTTGCTCCATTTCACAGTTATGTCATAGTAAAGATCAATAAACAAAGTAAATTATATTTTCATCTGAATAATTTAAATATCAAATATAATCCAAAATCTTTTCCTCTTTCTCTGTAGAGCAAATGTTCTAAATTATAATGTCTATAACTTTATAAAGAGAAACAATTTTTTTTTTTTTCTAGGAAATTCAAGAGAAACACAATTGATAGACTGAAATTTGGTAGGCAATATAAATACAATACAAAAAAAAAAGTTAAATTTGCCAAAAGATTATCAAAATGAATAAATGTTATTACTAGTTAACCTTAAAAGAAAAGCATATGTAACAAAATCTCAAACGTAATACAATGCAACAATATTTGCTATTATTACTTCTACAATTAGTTTATGATGCAGATATTTTTATTCTTTTTACATATGCAAGATACACAAAAATCTCTTAGTACTTTAATTATAGTTTGAAAAATATTAGAAAAAAAAAACAAAGCCGACTAATCTATATCATTTTGAAATCTTTTTGAAAGGGAATTTTGTATAATTCAAAGACAGGTAAACCAAGGTAGAATTTTCCCCAGAGACATTAAAAAAAAAAAAGTTTTGTTTTTATAAAATGAAAAATATTTGTGTCATAGTGACAGATCAAATTTTAACCTCTAGCACTCTCCATTATTCATTAGTATTACTTCCTTTTCATGGAATTCTTTTGGGGGGTGAAGTAGCCCTATTATTGATTTCAGTTAAGGTTATTTTAGCTGTTTCCATAGGAGGACATGACAACACAACTGCAAAATTCAAAAATATTATTGTTCAGTAATTGGAGTCACCCAGAATGGCAGGACTCTCTTTCTGCTTGTGGAACAAAGTAATGTTAAATGCTTTGACATAAAAAAGGGGAGGGGGGGGGGTAAATATTTTGGTTCTTTCAGAAAAAGAGTAGAACATCAATCCTTAACATTTATCACTCTCTATGTGACTTCATTTGCTGTACAAAAAGTTTATTCTGCCACTGAAGGTGACTGAATTTGAATTTGTTTCAATTTCATAGATGTGTTGTTATATGGCAACAGAAAACACCTTTGAGTAAAATTAACAATAAGGATACTGCAATTGAGAGGCCTTGAAAAAGAATGCAGTGGAAAGGGAAGTAATATTAATAATGCAGAGTACTAAAGGTTAAGAGATTTTTTATAAGTTTTTCTTTTCTAAGGTGAATCTATTACTAAGCTTAGGATGAAACTTCAAATCTTTCAGACTTTTGCTTTACAATCATGAAGAGAGAGGAAAAAAACAAAGCTGTTTTATAAACTGATAAGTGTAAACCTTTGTTAGAATTTGAATAGATTAATATTGAAGAGTTTTAAGTAATAATCATGTTTTGAAAAAATATGCAAAGTGCATATTAGAATTAAAAAATCTGAAAGTAGCATTTTTAACATGATCTCATCCACAATTTGATAGCTTCACCGAGTTTTGGTACATCAAACTTTGCCATTGATTTTTAAAATGTTAATAGATGTAAAAAGAAGCACACAAATAAATGAGGTAGAAAATATATATATTTATAAATATGTAAATATATATATATATAGGGATTACCTACCCGGTAAGGTGCCTGTATGAATTGGGGCTGTGAATTTGACAAATGACAGAATTTGAACATTTGATCAAAAAGACAACAACAACACAAACAGGGTGTAAAACAGTGAAACAAACACTTATGAGTGTTACAAAAAAAAAAAAAAAAAAAAAACCCTCTAGTGCTTGTAAGAAGAATCATGATAAAAATATTAAGCAATAGATACATGACAAATAGAAAACAAAAATGTAAAACATTTTAAGTTGGGCCAAACAAACCAGCTAGGTTATGATTTTACAAGCAATTGAATAGCGGGTTTTAATAAAACACAAGTGGCAAGTGAAGGACGGAAGATAACTTTTGTTTTTTTTTCTTACAGTTCAATCACTATGCTCTTTTAATCATTGGGTGACATGATGGGAATAATTTATTTTACATATGAAAAATTCAGTTTTGTGGAAGCATAAATTTATTCGGCCAATATTTCCCAGTCCTTGTATCTAATTGATCCATAATAAATTTTTCAACAACCTTTTCTATATATCTTACTCATAATAAGTAATTTATGCAAAAATTTACTCGTGGCCCATGGTTAATTTTCTTTGATCAATATGGCCCTTCACATTTTTTTTTTTTTTTTTTTTATTATTTTGCAGGCCTGTTATAAAGTTTTGACAAATTTTGTTTTCATAGCAGTCTGTTTAATTTAACATAGTAATTGAAAGATTGATACATGAAATAATGGATTATTAAAAAACTAATTTTGATACAAGATTTATTTTTACATAAAATTTAACTTGATTATATCTGGAGATAATAAACTGCATATTCTTATATCACAATTTAAAAATAGAAATTTAAAATGAAGTGAGTGGGGAGAAATGTATGCATTTAATATATTTTAAACAAATTGTAGGATAGAAGAGAGGATTATAATTATAAACAAAATTTTAAAAACCAATACATTATTATTATTATTATAATTTACATAGAAATCTATGTCCCCTAAAATAAGTGATAGCAAAATAAAAATAAAAAATAGAATAGCACTGTAAGCATCATACAGATTAATGACATTGACAGACACAGAAGCACATTACTAGGATTTTCGTTAATGAAGCATAAAAAAAAAAAAAATGATCAAAATATTCAATTTTATTTCTAATGAGTATTTGATTAAATAAATATTTTGAAATATAATAGGTAGGTTATTTAGTCTGCATAATCAGCCTAATAAATATATAGAAGTATGTGTATGTTACTGTTATAATACATAAAAAAATTACTTACAATTTTGAAAGAAATAAAACTTTTCTAGCACTATGTATTTTTGAAAAAGTTATTTAATATCCAGTTGTTGAGGGTGATTGTTATTAATGTATTTCAAAAACCATTAGTCATTTCAAAATTAAATCTAACATCAATGAAAAGTTAACAATGCTGAGCATATTTACATCTTTTATAATAGTGAAAAGCAAAAAAAAAAAAAAAAACCTTTTTACTCTCAAATTTGACAAAGAAAGAGATGAGGAGGGAATATCTTCTGAATAGAGAAGGTATATACTCTGCACAATACACATTATAAAACAAAAGATTACAAAATTTATTAAACTATAAAAAAAAGATTTTTTTAAATGTATTCAAAGCAAAAATTTTTAAAAAAAATAATCATTTAAAAAGAATTTATTTCCTCAATGCAACAAAGGATCTGCTCTCATGCCAAAAAGAAATAATAAAAAAAATAAGTAAGTAAATTATTCCACCATTAAAATTTGCCTTATTTATAGAGAAGTAAAAAGATTTTGTGGGTAGTGACTAAATCAAGACTAAAATCATAATAAAAAATTTTTATCAGAAGTCAATGATTTTTTTTTTCTTTACTTCTAATTTTTTTTCATGCTAATGATTGATAATGATATTAATATACCTACAATACTTATGAACTTTCATGTTTGTTATGAATTTAAGTTCATCAGATTTTGTATTATATACAATTTGGTAGAACATGACTGAATATTTTCATGTCAACTGGCAATTCCTGACTGAAAATGGTTTTCAGGATCATTCTAAATTAGTTAATTTTATATAACAGACATTACTTTAAAATGCACTAATACATCTCCAAAACAGTGGAAATCCAAATTAAAACAAACATAATACACATGTGAATCAATGTAATGAATAAAAAAAAAAAAAACAAAAAAAAAACAACTTTTCACTGTAGTTTTTTTCCATTTTCTGATAATTTTCATTCTTATTAATAAATATAATAAAAAGGTGTCACCTTGGAACCTCCATTTTAGGTGTAATACATCCATCTTGAAGAATAAATGTTAACATTTATATCTAAATAGTACAAGCAGATCTTCAAGACGAAAATCTGTTCCTGTCTGAATTTCTGGCATGAGGAGCTATTTACAGTTGGACAAATATCCTCATCTTTGGCCACTGTTCTTTCTGTTTTCTCTCTAATACAGAGTGTGGCAGAAATACCTCCCACTAAATAGTAAGACATTAGTGGCAATGGTGTCTTCATCTAGCTAATGTCTTACCATTATGTGGGAGGTATTTCTGCTGCACACTGTATTTTCAGTGAAAAACATTGAATAGACATTGATTAAAATAAATTTGTAAATTTGAAAGATTACAATAAGTAGCTGCTGAAATGTTGCTCACACATTATAAAGGAAATCTAGTGTTATATGAACTTAGAAACATTTTATTATTATTACTACTATTAATTAGTATTTAGCAATGAATCTTTTAAAATAGTTAAGTAGCATGAATTGAAAATGACTATGATAGAATGTAAAACAAACAATGTTGCAACAAAAGGAAGATGAAAGAAACTAGTGAGAAATTAATAAGACATCTCTTATGTTTTAAAGTTTTTCTACAAATGCTAAAGCCCTGTAAAAAAAAAAAATATATATGTGTGTGTATATATATATATATATATATATATATATATATATATATATATATATATATATAATTATTTGATGCTTTTAAAAAACAGCTCCATATCTAAAAGTAACAGTGAGTAACCAAACCATTTATCATGATTTTTTATAAGAAATTGATTAACAGAAGGTGAAGTCAAATACCCAAACTTAACATAAATTCTACTTAGAAAACCTATACATAAAGGATATCTTTTATCATATCAGTTTTCAAGATTCGGCTTTATAACATAGAAGATGCATGTCTAAGTAAGAATTCAGTATAGTATAATAAGAGTCACTATCAGCCTAAGTGCGGATAGTATAACAGTTACTAGCACATAATGTGGAATTAGCAACCTGAATTCAAGTTCTGAACTAGTCTGTTGTGTTCACTTTTTTGGCAAAGGTATAAATCCTATTTTCACCCCCAGCTATTGGTTAAATAGCTAGGCTCTCAAGCCTTAGGTGGCAACCAGTCTAAGGAAAACTACGAATTTCAAAACCACTATTTTTTCCCCAAGAATGCATGACAAATCATATATTAAAGAGAAATCTATGCATTTATGATCATCTATGTCCTAAATAGACATTGTATAAACAAATTGTTTAAAAAAAAAAAAAAAAAAAAAAATGACTAATAAGCACTATTAGTTCAATTGTGCATGATCAAAACTGACACTCAAACTAAGTCTAATTTTTTATCTATGAGGTTATAATGAAATGGAATATCTATATGTAAGTGCTGAAACATTGTTTCTCTATATGGTCTGTTGAAAGGAAAGAACAGATTAATTTCTTGAAAATAAACGTGTTTAATGAAAACGAGAGCTCTAAAGAGAAACCAAGGGAAGTAACTCGTGTGTATATAAAGAGTAAATTCCAGTAAAAGCACAGATTTTGTTTGCTTCTGTTATTATGGACACCATCATTCAAAAAATGTGCTTTAAAAGTGGAAGAGGTCAATATATTGAAGGCTAAAAGGTGAGAAAAGCTAGCAAGTATAGTACAGCAATTCAATCACATTGCTTCCGTGCACATATTGAATTAAATTTGTGAAAGATAAATAAAACCGTCAAAATAATAGCTGATCTACAGTTTTACTCATATACTGAATTCAAAATAAAGCTACATTATTATTATTATTTTTTTTTTTTTACAGGAGGAAAATAGAAACACAAAATTCAAATAATCATAAAAACTAATTTTTATTTTTAATAGACAAAATAAATTGTTTGTAAAAATTGATTATGACTATGCCAGTTTTGTCATTAATAGGAAAGTACAAAAAACCTGCATATATAGTACACTCTTTTGGTGATGTAGTAATTACCACTATCCAAGGAGAATTAAATGTTAGTTTAGTTTGTATATATATTTTATATATAAAATGTACACACACACATTTTGCAGGGCAGACTGGATCCTATAACATTGGGTAGTAACCAGTCTAGGAGAAGAACAACTCTGAATTCAAAGCCTGCTGAGGGTCGTTTAGGGACAGTGTGGCATACTGTACACCAGTTATTTGTATTCGGCTCTTCTAAAAAGCACATTTGGTTCTGCATGAGCCTTCACCATTATAATCAAATAATATGCGCGGGTCTGGCTGTTGGTTCTAAGAACTGAGCTGTGTGACCCTTGTATGTCGAAAACGACCACAGAGCCCAGAATATATGTGTGTGTGTGTGTATGTATACATATAACAAAAAAAAAAAAGTGGGAAAAATTTTTGCATGATACATTTTATTTTTCAGAGGTTCATTGGAGTAAAGTGATGGTTATGTTGATACAACTACACATGTTCATGAACAAGAGAGGGCACTGAAAATTTAATTTTTTTTTTGTTATTTTAATATGTTTTGGGCATAGTTGATTTTCTTTAGTTTCTTTTTCTTTGTTTTTATCACTTTTGTTATTAAATACCCCACATTGCAATAATAGAAGATCTATCAAGAAAAATGAAATGTTATAAGAGCTTGGACGTAAATTGACTGTGGTTGATCTAGTAACTAAAGTATTTTCTATACATTTTTGTCTTAGTAAATGGCTTTCTTTTTTAATTAAGCTAGCATATTTTTATTTATTTATTTTTTTTTTTTTAAATCA